ATATATATATATATATATATATATATATATATATGACCTTTTTACTTTATAAAATTAATCATAAATATTTTATTGTTAGTAAACTTAAAATTTAAGGTTTGTCGGTTTTATTATTGGGTCGATCCTGAATTTAACCAACTTTTAAGCTGATTCAATTAAAATAAGTTTATTTAGTATCCAAATTTATTTTAATAGTTTCTAACTTATTTTTATAAGTTATGAAAAATAAACTAACTTATAAGTTATTTTTTTTTATCCTTATTTATTTATTTAAAATCTATTTATACCTCAATAAATTAAATATTATTTTTTATGTCATTTTACATTTATTAATTAATTTATCAACTAATATTATCAAATACTTTTAATTTAATTAGTTACTTTAAAAGTTTTAAATATTTTAATTTGTAACTTATAAACTTCAACTAATTTTTATTCAACTTATAAGCTTTCATTTCTAAATTTTATAAAATTACCCTTTCTTTTACATTACAAAACCACCATTTTACCTATACTTTTATTAAAAAAATGTCAATTGGTAATATTTTTTAATTAATAGTAAATGGTTTGAAAAGTTTAATAATAATTGACAATCGTTATATAATGTTTGATATCATTTTAGAAAATAAATTATGAATCTAACTTAATTTTATAAATTAGTTTATAAAATAAAAATAGTTATCCATTTGTATATATAATTATTATGATCATGTCACCTCAAATATAAATATAAATTAGAAAACTATCCTATACCTTCACTACATTGCCTATATATATATTCTCCAATAAAAAGTATTGTAAAATTTTATTATTGAATAATAAACACAAACCGTCGTTTTCCCTGTGTTTTATTTTGTGAATCAAACAAATTAAAAACCCCAAAAGCAGACAAAGTTTCCTATACTGTTTGGCTCCTAGGTTCTATCGAGTTGCTTTTGCTTCTCTTGTTCCTAATCCCTTACCCTCTCGCAGGTAGCAACATCAAATTCAACAAAAAGCATGGATCTATCTACACTGTTGCTAGCAGTGCTCTTCATCGCAGGGCTCATAAACATTTTCTTCTACGTGCCCACCAACAAGATCAGAACGTGGCTTCAAATTTTCTCCCCCAACAATGCTTGCAAAACCCACTTCCCCGCCTCTCCCTCTTCTCCAACGGTGGGGAAGAGAGACATCTACAAAACAGAAGAGCTCAGAAGGGTGTTCTCCACTTTCGACAAGAACGGTGACGGGTTCATAACGAAGCAGGAGCTGAGGGAGTCCCTAAGGAACATCAGAATCTTCATGACGGATAAAGAGGTCGATGATGTTGTTGCCAAGTATGACTCCAACCATGACGAGTTACTCGATTTCCAAGAGTTTTGCCTTTTGACGTGTGAGTCTTTGGGAGGAAACGAGGAGGGAGATGAGAAAGAGGGTGGTGGTGTTGGAGAGGAGGTGAATTTGAAGGAGGCTTTTGATGTGTTTGATAAAGATAATGATGGCCTTATTTCGGTGGAGGAGCTAGCTTTGGTGCTTACTTCCTTGGGGTTGAGGGAAGGGAAGAAGATCGAGGAGTGCAAAGAGATGATCAAGAAGGTTGACATGGATGGAGATGGAATGGTTAACTTCAACGAGTTCAAGAAAATGATGATGACTTCAGGAGGAAACCTTGCCTTTGCTGCATAGTACTACTCCATCACTTCACAGGTTCTCTCTTTTATTTTCAATTCAGATTCCTCATCATTAACTCCAAAATTAAACAGTTATCATTGTGTGTCTATGTATATAACATCATGGTTCATCGCTACATCATCATCATCATCATGTATACGTTTCAGATGATACATGAAATTAGATGAAATACTGCTCTGATCGATTTAGTAAATTTGTAGTGAAAATTATTAATTAATTTTCTCTCTGTTTATGTAACTCATGGGTCATGGGTAATGAGACCCACTATTTTTTTTTTTTTTTTTTATCCTTTGGCAAGGAATTTGTTTTAATTTCTTTAAATTGTCTGCGTGGATATACAGTAACCAACATTCAGCTTACAGTTGCGTTTTGCAGCACAAGAAAGTGTTGAATTTCCAGCTTTAATCGGTTCTCTTTTCTCCATGAAATTGGGAAAAATAAATTATGGAGGTATGCACTTTTAATATATATAATAATAACAGAATAGGATATTGTTTCTGCTGTAGCCTCACGTGCTAATAGGACGAGACTTACGAAGTAAATTATGAAGGTTAATTTCCACGAGGGAGACTATTTTAAGAAAATAATGTCTTTGAATTATGAAATTTAATCAAGAAACCCTCAACCATGCATGTGGACGTCCTCGGTTGTCTTAATTTATAATGATCGTCACCAATCACCATATAGCTAATTGGTAGAACCTTGTAATCCTTAGTTTGCTTCAACTTTCAAATAAGCCTGCTGCAATTTTTCTATTTAAATGCATTTTCCCGGGTTTTTTTTTACTAACATGCATTTTTTTAATTTATTATTATGTACCAAAAAGTAACGTTTGTTTCAATTTAAATTTTAAAGAGTCTCAGTTATTCTTCTGTGTTGTTTTTATTTTTCACTTATGTGACAAAAAAAAAAGTCTCAACTATCCTCAAGAGAATGTTATCTAGTGTGACGTCGCAAGTGTGGTTGTTGCAGCTCGGCCTATGAAACAATCACCACAACCATTGATTCTGACAAATAAGCATTGGGCGATTTAAAGATATGGCACCATGTAGGGTCTATGCGGAGGTGTAGTTATGTTCTCAATCGATCAGAGAAGAGAAATTGGTCACTGAGATCAACCTCGAGGATCAATGGGACAAGTGGGGTTCTTAGGTTGATTTGAGTGACATATTGGACCATGGAAGCATCTTTTTTAATTGGGACAACAAGGTCTTTCGGCTTGAAAGTTTGTTGAGTGAAAGAGGATGCAAAAGAAGAATAGGAGGAAAACAATGAAGAGACATCTTCATAGTCATCTTACTACCCACCCATCTTCAATTGGTCACGTATAAAAATAATAATAAAATGAATGGATGTCACATGAACATAAGGTCTAGATTTTAAAAGTGATACAGTTGAGGGACTCAATCTCAATTGGCGCAACCAAAAAAAAAAAAAAAGACTAAATAAAGAGGATAAAAATATAATTGATCCTACTTTTTTTTTAAATCTTTTAAAAATATATTTTATTTAGTTCAATTTTTTATTTTCAAAGATAAAAAAGTTTATTAATATTAATTGACACAAATAGTAACAACTTATATCATTTAACTGAATTGTCTATAGTTCAAATTTTGACATTAAATAAAAAATAAACTATATTAAAAAAATATTTATTTTATGTATATTTATAGCTTTTGACAAAAATTAATTATCACTTTTAACGATAAATACTATGAGTGTTAGAAAAATAAGAAAAGTCATAGTTTAAACATCATCTCAAAACATGCTTTTAAAATTTAATTTAACTTTTCTTTTCATGTATCTTAAAAATAAAATAATAATTATAATTGTTGACTAAAATTTAATGATTAAAATTTTAAATAATTTATACATGTGAAAATAATTTATCAAAATTTCAACTATTTTTCTTGGTACCGGAGTGATATCTATAAAGTAATGTGGGTGGGGTTGGTTGTTTGTTTTCCAGCTCTTCAAAGTGCGTTTAGAAAAAGCAAAAGTGTATGTGTTAATAAAGCGTCACGCTTTCTTTTTGTTTGGTCCACTATAAATAATAATATTTTCTTTTATTCTTTTGTTTTGCTTCTAGAAAACAAGACCAAATTTTGCAAATTTAATTGACTCTATTAGGCATTGCAAATTTCCCCCCCTAATTTCAACAATGTCCTACACTAAATAACATGAATCTTTGAACCAAAGACTAGAACAATAGTAACTCAAAATTTTGATAAGATTATTTATTTAAATTTAAACTTAATCATATTAAGAATTAAAAATGTATGGGATAAAATTGATCAACTTGTTGATAATATATATTAATTTTTTTGAAATGGATAATATATAGTAATCTCTTGATATAATACATAATATAATTGTGAATTAACTTTAATTAAGCAGTATATTTGAGTTTATAAAATATAGAAGGAATAAAAGAAGTATGTAATTACAGTTAAGGAAGAATTTACTGTACATATCTTGAGATAAATAATATCAGTATAAATATAACAATATGTTATACAAAAATATTATTCATTAAGATAAGGAGTAATGTTGTTAAAATATATTATTTTATATTCACTTAAAGAATATTTGACATTAAGTAGAAATAACTTAAAGTATAATTTAAATCTACCACTAAAATTTATAGTGTGTAATTTTTAAGCTAACTCATCAAAAGTAATTAAATGAGACAAAACGAGTCAAGAATGTCCTTACAACTTATGAATTGTTTATTTTAGTAAAATTAATTTTGTATAATTGTTTTTAAACTGTTAAATGTAATTAAAATGTGTGTTTAAATTAATTTTAAATTTAAATATAATTTATAATCTCTCAAATATGAGATAATTTTTTTTAATCATTCAAATTTAAATTTGAATATTTTAATTTTTATATTCAAGTATTATTAGTGAATCTATCGAATAAAACCATCTATTATTGATCTATTATACAAATTACACCTATACAGGGCAGACAAATGAAATATTTAATAGAAATAAATTTGAATTAAAAGACTATTATTTAATATATCATTATCTCATTTTTGTAAAAATAAAATAAAATAAGTAAATAGTTGATAAAAAAAAAAGTCAATTAAATAAGAGTATGATATCAGAAAAAGAAAAAATTAAGCAGAGTCATTTTTTTTTAATATAAAACCTAAAAGGGCTACAGATTTAAGAGGGAGAGAGTAATTAGGATGTGCCCAAATTAATTTCAATCACAAATTATCCGAGAATTGTTTTTTTTTCTTCTCAACTTATGCCCTTAAGGATTGTTCTAATTTCATGGTTACCGTAAGAGGTTCCAAATAAAATCCCACGCGTAATTATAACAACCTTTTCATTTAAATTTTACCTTTCTCACATTGAGTTTTGCAGCTCCTCTATAGTAAAGTCATGCAACATTTAATTCAATTAATCAATTATTAATCTATATAAACAAATAATCATACTACATAGTTGATTAAATTTAGTATCCTAAAATGCATGATTATTTGTTTACATGAACTAGTAAACAATTTACCTAACAAAATTCTACATGATTTTACTCCAGAAGAATTCACTCTCTCAGACCATCTAACCACACAATCTTTATTCACTAATTAATCCAAACCCAGCTTCTTGGATTGGCTGCAAAAAATGATAGATTCATCGCATTAATAAGAGGCAACTCTTTTGTCTTAGCACAAACACGATCATTACACATTGAGTTGGTAGAAGCTTGACAAAAACGATAGTGGCAGCCACAAACGCCAGCAATAGACAGCACGTTAGACACGATTTTAGATCAGCCAGAGGCTTGCATGAGGCATGCCACCCCAAATTTCTAATAGATCGAAAATGTTGATGATATGGGTATTTACATCAAATAAGCTCATAATCTATGGGGTAGGACCCTTTTTTTTCCTCTTTTACTCATCTTTAAATAATATAAATCTTCAGTATCCACCATTAATTAAAAAGGTGGAGTATAAGATCATTATTACCTTGTTTCTTCTTGAATCATGATTATTAAAACTACTAATATTTGTTAGTTTACCTAGAAAACATCTGGATGAAAATGGCCAGGGATGGAACTGCTTTGTTGAGCCTGCTTTAGGTGCACTGTCAATGCATAATTGTTCACCTCTAAAGCTCTTACCTGTTCTTGGTACTGGGACACTAATTGCTTCAAATGTTTCAACTCTTCATTTCTGTCTTCATATTCTTTCTGGCGCTTATGCTGTATACAGATTGCACGCTTCAGATTAATGTTTTCTTGAATGAGTCCATCACATCATACCCTATGACAATGAATTGGGATAGGACGTCTTCGTGAAAAGGAATTGAAAATGCATATTTGCATGGTATCCGGTTTGACAAAGATGAAAAACATAAACATAATAAATAGAGAAAATTAATAGTCCATACACTATAGATATTAAAATTCAAGACTTGCTCTGGCGCAAATGGATTTCTCCAACTCCTCTAGCATTTTAGAAGCTGAAGCTTTGGCATCATCCATGTTAGATGCATTCATCATTTCTTTAACAAAAAGCTCAACCCATTCGGCACCCTTTGTAGGATAATTTTTTCCAGCAAGTGGATCCTCCGAACCTGCTGCATGTTTGGAACAGCGCTGATCTCTTCCCTCACACTATGATCGCAGACATCTTTGCTCAACTACCTTAACAACGCCATCATCATATTCATAATAATGATGATAGATAGGACAGGTAATAAAGGGATCCAAAGCAATGAGTTGAATCGCACATTCCTCTTCCTCTTTCCACTTCTCACTTTCATTTACATGCCCTACTTTTCTACTATTCTACCCATGTCAATATTTGGAACAGCACTGATCTTTTCCACGTAGACCCACCGTTAAGAAGAGACCCATGTCAAATATTTGGAACAGCTGATCTCTTCTACATAGACTCACCGTTAAGAAGAGTCACCTGCTACCCATCATACTTTTCGAATCGGTCACGCTTTGGGTCTAAGTTCTCACGATTTTATTTTTGGACATCACCCAAAAGATTTCTTAACCAATGGAGACAAATGTGTGTATATAAACTCATGTCTATTCTCTTATTTGAACGATGTAAGACTTTGTTTGCATCTCAACATAAATCAAGTTAAATGTTTAACATCATTTATTAAATACATTAAATATTACAATATATTACTACTTTTCAATAATAATAATAATAACAAGTAAAATTATAGTAATTTGATCCCTAGCTTTGTGAGATGCTATCATAGTCTTTGAGTTAAAAAAAAATGTTAATCTTCAACTTTTATTTTTGTCACCTAAATTAATTATTATTGTCAATGGAACGATAATTTCTTTAGTTAACTCATTACTTAACATGTTATTCGCTACATAAGAAACTATTTGGCTTACCACTTATATGTTCAC